GCAGTGAATAATAACTAATTTTTCATGGCAAATAGCCATATTATTTCCCTCCGCAACCCCTGTAGAAGTTCATACATTATTTAACTTGTATAGCAGCATCCTAACATATTCTCATTTGTGTCAGTTCATTTGGGGGTATTATGACTTATACATCGTTCACAGCAGCAGAACATACCACCAGAAATGCACTGGGACCATACTGGTTTCATCTGGGAGACTTCCTTTTTTGTGTCAGTAATGTTTGTGCTTTCTTAGACTCTCAGATTTCTTCTTTTATCTAACCCCCCCCCCTCTTTACATACACATATAGTGGATAATCCCCACCACCACCACTCAAGTTAAGTCATTCATGTCTTCATCTACAGAAATCTGTTTTTTTGTCCTCTTGAAAGCCCTTCGAGAAAATGATAGCCACCGTTACAAAGGACCTTCTGGGTCACTTCCGTAAGAACGGTCACTTTCTGTCAGAACATTCTAGACTGGAGTTTTCATGTCTTGTAAGGTGATTGCACATGGCAGTGAATTTGTGTGATAGAAATGTGATTTTCCCCAGCTTCTGCAAAGTATTATTTCTGAAAATCCTTTATCAATATAAAATCTCCAGACAACCCTTCACAATGTCCGGCAGTATAAGTGTATGTATGCAGAAGGGATGAAAATGTCAGGAGTAATAATTTGCAGGCCTTTTTAAGATGTGCAAATGTTTTCCCTCCCTCATCCCCGTGACATTTATTCAGGCTCCCAGCACAGTTTGTGCAGCTGTGGGTTCTCACATCTTAATGATGTTGGAAGACACCCCAGCCACAGAGAGAGATGTACTATAGGAGTGTCAGGGAGAATTTGTCCTCCTGCCTTCCCTCTGTTTATCTGACTCGCACGTAATGGCCATTTATTTCTCTAGCAGTAAATGAGGAATCTTTCAAATGTCATTTGTAAAGCGGTCAGTCTCGAAGTGAAATGTGTCAGCTATTTTATTTAAATATATTATTTTTTATTAGACAGTTAACTGCATTGTTGAACTTTAAAACTGAAATTTCCTGGAGTTAAAAACCATTGCTTCCATTTTTAAATGTTTTGAAGCGATTATTTGTGTTCTCTTCTTGCAGTAAATTTGCAGACTTCTATACATATATGTTTTTTAAAGTAAGTCACCCCGTATTACTGCCCATTTTTTTTTACAGTTGGGTTTATGCTGTAATTTTGACCAAAGCAAGGTAAAGATAAATTCCAGATTTAACTACATGCAGGTGCTATGAAACTGTGCGTTTTAAGACCTGCATCATTCCTGGCCTGAATAAACTCATAGACCTATGTGAAGCAAGTCTAACAATATGGATGGGTAAGTGGTTTTAGAAGCCCAGCAAACCTTTGTGTAAAGAAATCTATCCAGCTCATAGTCTTCAGTAACCTTCCCCTTGTTTTCACCTCATGTCCACTAGTCTGTGTGCATTGAATTAGCTTTGTTAAAGCATGAATCAAGTCTCCTTGTACTCTGTGTAAAGGTTAAAATGATTTGGTTTGTTTAGTGTCAGTGTGGAACATTTCTTTTAAGACCGGAATGTATGCTGTTTCTTTTACACCAGAGTAACAGTGACTTTTTTAAAGTATGGTGAACAGAACTTTTTACAATATTCCAAATGAGGTCTTACTAATATGTTGTGTCATTTTAAGATTCCCTCGCCATTGTTTGAATTTCAGTGTTTTTAACTATATAAATCCTTACATTGTGTTTTTGGTTGATCGATGAATTCAGCTCAAGCACTAACTGCCAGTGTTGCAGGGATAACGATGGTCATGCTGTCTCCCTGAGACCTGCGGGAAATCTTGAAGATGCCTTGGAGCCCTTAGCTATCGCCTGTAGTCCTTATGGACCTTTCAAAACAATACACATTAATTGTTTTTTTACACTTTTACTTAGTGCAATGATGCTTTTTGTTGCATTTTGTAGAACAGTTTGAGGAAAAGTATTGCAGCCAACCAGGCCTTGCTTTAAGAAGATTGTCCCACCTTACCTTATTTTTTAAAAAGGCACAAAATTAAGAAAAAGTGTCATTGAGCTTTTCCAAAACATTCAGGTAACATTTTCTGGGTTGTTGTTGATGTGTCAGAGAAGTGAGGTGTTTTGGAGATGCAGCACACATCACAAGCTTTCTGCTGTGGTGTTTGTCAAGATAATGAAACCAGCTGTGTACTGTTATCACTTTCTTTAATTATGGCTAATTTAATTTGAAATGTATGACACTGAAGAGAATTTGGAAAGGCTGATTTTACTGTAAAACAGTCATTATTCCAGCGAAAAGCCTGGATCTTGAATTCTTTCTTTCTGTTAAAATTAATTTCCCTATTTTGTTTATTGTTGGATATTGCACCATTTGTACAGTTTTCTTCTTCTGTGAAAACCAATCGTAAGCATTATCTGCTTGAATTATTGAAGAGTTCAATGATTAACAGCGGTTGTTAAAGTTAGTGAAAAAATGGATTGTAATCTTGGGGATTTTTATGGTAAACCAGAATAGAATCCCCTGACAGGATTGACAGGAATTGCAGATGAAGTGATCATTGATGGATCAGGTCATGGATTGCTGTGAAAGGCAAGCTCTTGTGGTGTGTGGTTTGACTTATAAGATGACTCTGCGAAACGGAGATATTTAAGGTTTCTATTCAGACATGTTCTTCTGATGAAACAATCATTAAAACTGAAGTGTTTTCATGTCCTGTCATTGAATGACCAAAATATGTGTTTTTTACTGTAATTACAACATTTTTTTTACTGTCTTGCAACATTTATCTCCTCAGGGTGTTCTGCTTCATCCAACTTTTAGTGTCCAGTAATGATATTATTTGCATAATCTATTTTGGTACAGTACCATTAAGAACAGTTTATGTTGTCTGCCCACCAGCTGACAGCAGTTTTTGATTCAATTTCCATTTGCATCCTCACCTTGTTGTTGAGCATCAGGAATCTTGTTCACTTTTCAAATGTAGGATGTAGTGAGGATGTTCATATTTCTTATTACATGTATTCATCTGCTACTTATGATGGAAGTCCTTTCATTAACTTTCTTATTGATCTTATTTGAGTCAAGCAATGGTTAAATATATACTAATGAAATAAGACCAGTATCTTCAAATGGAGTATGCAGTATGACACCAGATATTTTATCTCTTAAGTCCCACTGTCAGTTTTGTCTGAATGTTTAAGAAAAATGAAACTAAATCTATCCAATCTGCTGACATTATTTTACATTCTTTTATTCTGGTCAAATTCCTAATGCTGTTAGCTCTGCTGTCAGCATGTTTCCTATTTCATAGCACTTTTAATGTTTGTGAGGAAAATGCAGTTTTCTCATTTTTCAAATAAAACAGTAAAGGCAGGAGTAGACAGGCATTTACATTGTACTGTATCTTAAAAGACACTTTCAATAAATTTCTTACATCACTTCCGTGAGAAATCTCTGGAATGTAAAAATCTTTCTAGCCAGTGGCATGATGTCTCACGCAACGTCTGTCTCGGTAGACACTGAGTTTCCTTTTTCTGTGTCTTCAGACCCTCCTTACACATGGGCAAGTTTGCCTGTCCACCCTTCAGCTGACTGTTTTGTATAATAGATCATGGAGGATTGTGTCCCTCTCTGCTCTTGTCGTATCAAAAGCAGCCCAGAGATAAGCTTTCTTGAACTTGAAGTTCAAGTCTAAAACTTGAAAATGACATCATACTTGGTATAACTGGTTTGGCTGTTAAAAACAAAGAAATAAATAATGAAACCTGTAATAATGTAACCTGAGCCTGGATTGCACATCTTCTCCTGCCTCCTGCAGTGGTGGTAAGAGAACAGGGTAGCTCCCTGATGTGTGCACTTGGCAGGTCTTTCTCGAGACGTGGTGAGAAGCAGACATGTTTGTTCAGCAGGTAGCATTTAAACCCTCATCAGAATTTATAATGAATAGCTCTATTACAAAAACCCAAAAGGCAGATGTGGAAATACTGCCTTTCATTTGTTATTTCTCGTTTCGGAGCAGAAACAGTAGTAAGGACTAAAATTACACCTAAAATAACAGGGGTTGTGTTTTAGTTGAAACCATTGGTTTGGTTCTGGTTGCAGCTTTCTCTCCTTGTGTTATTGAAAGCAGAGGAGTCCATTTATTTCTACTGCAGTATTGCATAAGGACATCAGGAGAGAGCGGTGTTTTGGTGAGGGTACTGCGCGGATATATAGGGACAGAAAAGTGCTCCTTTTTGCTGGAAGACAGGTCCTAAGATGTCATGGCTTGAATATTTTGCAAACCATGAAGCTAATAAAAAAGCATCTCTGAGGATGATTTGCTAACTTGCATTTTACCTCAGTTCTTAAATTGCATTTAAATGTTTTAAAGATGTGAACATTGAGGTCTATAAGTAGAGTTTCACACGATCGACTTGTATTGCCTTTTGACTATTAAGGCACAATGGCAGATGTGGGCAAGTGTAACCTTGAAGTGAAAAGACTACTTAAAAAATGTTGTTTGGAGAAGTAAAAGAGCTCCCCTTTTAGATTAAATAGTTGGAACTCCCCAAGTAGAGCTTAAAAATTCTGCTAATTATTTTTGCCCAAACGGCAAATTTTACAAATTTTAACTCACTGAGTTCTGAGGTTCCTTAATGCTTTTGTTAGTGATGTGAACATTGTTTGGGATGGGTGAAAGATAATTCGTTTTGGCATCAGGCTTAATATCCTGTCATTTATTCAGTACAGCCCATAATAGGCTAAGAGATTAATTGAGCATTAGATTTATACTATATAATCCCATTGCATCTTCGTATATGTGTGTACAGTGTATATGCCTATGTTATATTTCTGAAGGCCAGTAAACCCTGATTAATTTCTAACAATTGTGAAGGTAAACGCATCGGAAGATGGCCATTCTGCATCTGCATTTGGATCTCCAGCCCAGCTCACCCCAGTTTCATGCTTCACCATTAAGTTGCCATTTTCAAAAGACTTAGAGGAATTTAATTATTGATAGCAAATGATTTATTACATATTTAAAATGAATACACAGATAATTTGACGTAAGGATATCCTCAAGGATGAAAGTTTCCTTAATTTAACACATGTCCTTAGTTGATCAAAAATTAACGGTGTTTCCAATCTTTAAAAATGAGTGATTTAGAGTGATCTATAAAATCTCCCATTTTGGGGTTCTCCCAAACCAGCCTGATCTATAATCTTTCCGTACAGTATTTAATCCATTGTGAGTAACCATTGTGAGTATACTGTACGTATTTACCCGTATTTTTTGTAGACATAATAAACATATGACTGATGAAACAAAAAGTATTTATTTCAGGAACTATCACACTTTGAAAGGACTTCTAGGGGGACTTAATTATCATACTGTACGTGTATGATGGGAGACAGCTGCTCTCAATGTTCTTGTGGCTCAGTAAGTACTGTTCCTGTTTTGTTTTCGTTGTCAGAATTGTAGCTGTTTGCATGCTGCTAGTACAGGGTTTTGGGAGTAGGGGATAAGTTAGAAGACCGCAGAGCCAGCCACGATCAACTTGAACGTGCTCTTCAAAGCTTTGGATATTTTCATGTTTGTGCATGAAGTTTTTGTTGGCTTTTAAACTGCTGAGTTGTGTAGTTGTATTTCATAGTTTGGTGTCCTTAGAAGAATCTATATGGTGCAAAAATAAAGACCTTAAATGGTAGGAAAGGAGAACGCTTCAATTTTCAAGGTAATTATGAATGGGACTAGCGTCTGTTATTTGAGAATGTTTGACTATAATTTTTTGCTTCAAAAACATTCTGTAAACTTTTTGTTTAAATATATATATATATTTTTAAATATAAAAAACATAAAACCCTTACCCATATTTCTATAACAATGTGTATCTAACCATAAATACGTGGTACCTGGGATTAGAAAACTTCTGCATAGGCTCTTCCAGTAATTTCATTCCTAAACTCCAAGCATTCCTGTTTGCAGGGGCTGTATATATAGCTTTAAAAGAAGTTTAAAAATCCTAAACACCATTTTTATGTTTTGTACATGTCCAGTAAATGCTAGACTTTAAATTGTCCTCCTGAGCATCTAAAATCGGTGATTCATTGAACCAAGTAAGCAGCTATTCATTCAGAGTCCATTCCAATGAGTCCAATGTCAGTGACGTTAAGCATGCCATATGTGTGCTCTTTGTCAATAGCTTTGTACTTGAACTGCATTCATACAGCTCACACACCCAGACAGTGACAAGATAATGAAGTGCACTCCTGCCTGGTTCTAGTCAAACAAGTTGTATTCAACAGCATTGTTGTGGGCAGAGAAACTTTAAGCACTACAGTTCTCTAGAAACTAATGGAAACCTATGGATTATTCCTATGATACAGGTGCTACTATTGACTAGCTTTTTCTTTTTCAGAGTACTTCATTTTAAAAACTCTGCACTTATGGAACTGTTGTAATTGACAGATATTTGTGCCTGAGGAAAGAACAGACGAAGTGTGAATATTTACAAAGTAACTTATTGAGTCTCCATTGCTCTTGGAACAGAGTGCAGACTAATTTCCAGCTAAACAAAAGATTCCCTCTTTTACAAAATGAAACTGCACTTCTGTCCAGTAACTGTTAAGTGATGCTTTTTCTTGTAATACAATATGAGTAAGTCAATACATACAGTAATTCCAGTTCTGATTGTCCAGTTGTCTGCACTACATTCTCTTAAAAGTAGGTATCTGAATTTTAAAACCTAAGAAAGATTACGAATGAGAGAAGGCCATTCAGCCCATTGAGCCCGATTGGTAGTCAGAAGCTAATTAATCTGGGAATCTTGTCCAGCCATTTCTTGAAAGAAGCCATCTTTAGCCGCATTACTGAGATACTCTAAAAGCCCTTTGGGTAAAGAAGTGAAAGGTTTTCCCACTTGTGTCTTCTAGCTTGTGTTTTATAAGATATGTCTGTGAAATGCTTGCTGAATGTCAGTGGAAATTGACTGTAATGCAAGCAGTTCATTGGATTCAATCATTCAATCTACATTCTATGGTAAAGGTACCTATATCTGCATTTTGGGTACCTTGTATAAAATTCTAAAGTGAATGATCTGTTTTCCTTTATGCATTATGATCCTTAAATATATTCTTATAATGTTAATTCTTCCTGCATTTGGTTAATTGTTTTATACAATACATTGTGCAAAACGGCCCTCTTAAGAGATTTAATATTTTTTACTGCCCTAATACCCCTGTTAATTTATCTAGTTAGTTTCACTGATGTTTTTCCATTACTTGAAGAACATCATCCAGAATTGAAGGACCCAGGTCAAGGTTTAGAGAGAAGGCAGGTTCCTCTTCCACTGGCAGAGGGTCCTCTTCAAAGGACAGTGTTGTCTCCGTGTCTCTCCCTGAGCTGAAGCTGTGCTTGTCTGTGGTGTCGCTGTGGTCCTCATGCTGAAGATTGTCCAGCTCTTCGCTGTCCAGCAAAGGCATAGAGCTGGAGATCTGTCGTCTGTGGCTGGAGTAGATGTCCCCCCAGGCTGTACTCTCCCGAGACCGGTCCTCCTCTGGGTTAAGCCGAGGGGGCTTGGGTGGGGGGGCACAGGCCAGCAGGAGGTTCTGCTCACTCTGGGAGCTCTTGAGCAGGAGGCTGTGGCCTCTGTTTAGGAAGGAGAGGTCTCCGAAAGTGTCTCCGCTCCCCCCACTTCCGATGTGGGAGAGGTGACGGAAGTCACCCAGGGGCAGGCTGATCATGTTCACCGAGAGCACCTCCTTCCTCTTCTGCTTCTTACTCCAGCGGGGTGACGGGGATTTAAGGTGCAACGAGGATTTGAGTGGCATTCTGGGTCAAGGCTGTGGTGCCGGCAGACAGTTTGAAGGCTGCGATTGTCAAGGAGGTCTCCAATTACAACTCCAGTTCCATTGCTCCTTGGCAGCTGTTCTTGGGGAAACAGGAAGAGAGGCAAGATTATTCTAAATAGGTTTTACCTGGAATTTTGCGAGCGTGCATGGGAATGGGAATTATTTTCTTCATTTGCCTATTAAAAATAAAGTGCTAACATTTTTGCAGATTTGCTCAGTCTGGAATTGTTTCAAAGGAGTTTAGAGTAAACACAAGAGCAGGAAAATACACAGTGAAGCTGCACTGTTGGTAAGACTTCAAAAAATAGCACTGTTACTCATTGACAGTTTTTATTCCACACCTTGTGAGATCTCTTTTTTGAAAAAGAAGTGTTCCAAAACAACTGCATTCACATTCAACTCCAGATGCAAATCTTGGCTATTGCACGATGGTCACCTTTTACAGTTTGAGGTGAAAACCCAAATGGCTGCAATCTGTGTTTAATAAATGCACCTGTGCTCCTATACCCCAGGCTAGTAGTATTATTCATTATTTGGACCAAAAGTGGTATTCAAACATGTGCTTCAAAGCAACATTAAAAGTGAATGGCTTTTTGTGAAATGTATTCTAATTTAGCATGGCATTGTTAATAAAAGAACATATTAGGCTAATTGGAGTGCCTCCATTTGGATATAGGTTAAACTTTAAACGGATGTGAGTCATTCAGATTTGCTTTCAGTCAAGGGACTACAAGGGAAAGTAAAACCTTGCCATTTTTTCTTTTGTTATTTTTTAATTATTTAATAATCTACTACAAAAAAGACAGTAGGAACATCTAACTATAATACAGCAAGATCCAGACTCCAATCCCCTCCCCTACCCACTCATGATAGTAACCCACCCCATATTCACAAAAGTGCATCACCAAAATGATGTCAGTCAATTTCAAAGGCTAGTATAAAAGAAAACAGATAAGACAAGGAAGAAGGGGCAGGAAAAAGACCGAAAAGATCTGTATTTTCTTATGCTGCCTATGCAGACTCTCAGAAGTGAACGGTCTGGTCTCCAGCCCCATGCATCCGGCCTTGTGAAAGCGTCACATGCAAAACATCCAGAAAGGAAAAGGCTCATTGATGCTATCTGGCCATTGACGCAGCGCTACCATGTTCTTAGCTGCTGTTGTATCTGCGAGGCAAATTTTTTTTTGTGAAGTAGGCTGCTCAGTGAGGATGCCTCGCCCTTTCTCAGTGTTATCATGAAAAATCGCAAAGGGAAAAAGGTTACAACTCCACACTGTGTTCAGCACAGCTTTCAGAGAGGTTACTGCAGTGTATCCTGTGCTTAATAAGTACAAAAAGAGAAATAGCCTGCTGCAGAAAAGTAAAAAAGTAAAGCACTGCATTCAAGATTTGTATTCAAGATGCAGTTATGGTAGATTAATTATCCAGTGTGCATGGTGAGAAAGAGTCACCCTGGGAGGGATTTTTCAGAAATGCTAGATAATTGCATCC